ATTAGTTTTCCTTTTGCTTGCTTTTGAACTTCATGTAAATGGACGCAGGCCCCAGCTGCTCACTTGTGTCTTGCTTCTTTCCTTCAACATTATGTCTATGAGAGTCAACCATGTTGCTGCTTGTCATTGTTCCACCTGCAACTTAGTCCTTTTATCAATTTAGTGGGAAATTCTTACAATGGTGCCAAAAAAAAAAAAAGAAAAAAAGAAAAAGAAAAAAGAAAAGAAAAGAAAAAAAGAGGTGGAAATAAAATAAAGGCACCATCTTGCATTTTTTTCAATCGCCTGGCTTCCCTGAAATGGCCTGAAGCACTCCAAACTTCTTCCTCATTTCTCCCCCCAGTACCCAGGGCCCTGCTCAGCAGCCTGGAGGAGGGTATTTGGACTTGGGTTTTTCTCCCTCCAGGAATCTGTGCTTCAGTCTGGGCAGAGTGGAGGCCTGTCTGCCACAGGTTTCTTAAGGGGAACCGTCCTCCCGACGCCATTTCCTGAGCTTTTTCTGGCAAAGATCCTCTTCAGGACCCTCTTGTTCATCTATGTCCTCCCTTGCCCCTCAGACCTTTCCCTCAGAGTAACTCTGTCCCTACTCTGAGAACCACGCTCCACTCTGTTCCCTCCTCTCCCCAAAACAATACCCAATACTCCTCTTTCGGTCCCCATTGCCATCATCTCAATCTCTGCGTCCCCCACTGACAACCCCCAGATCCCTCCCCACTTTGGCAAAATTGCCTTAAGGTGGCAGGGACACCTAGAGAGTCTGTGTTCGCTGAAAGAGGAGATTTTCCTTCTGCTCAGCCAGGGAGGCCCCAAACAGTGGAAGCCTCAAAGAGAGGAAATGCTCGCTGGCCTTCCCGCCTCCTTGTCCCTCAGGATGCTGTCTGGCCTCAGCACCCTCCCAGATCATTCCTTCCGCTCTGGCTAGAGAGCGCTCCGTCCTTGTGGGGCCATGGGAACCCCACAGCCTTGGGCTTCCCATTGCTGGGAGAGCAAGGGGGAAAGGCAGAGCCCCTGAGAGAGGCCGGGGGGAGGCAGGTCAGCACCCAGGCCTGCAGAGGAGGAAGGCGGTTTCGGAGCCATGGGGCCAGGGTTCTGAATCCAGGATTACAGGCTTCTTGCCAGGCTTCCAATCACTGTCCTCTTTGTTACACCCCTAGTCTGCCCTTGGCACACTCCTCCATGAGCGATTCACTCTGTGTGTGTGTGTGTGTGTGTGTGTTTAAAGATCAAAATATCCTATGTATTACTAATAAACCTCTGGGAGAATGAATCAGCAGCCAAGAGGGCCTTCTAATATTCCCACTCCCTCCTTTAATTGAACTCATTACCCCAAACTTCCAACCTCCTCCCTTGTTCTTAAATCATAGAGTGCAGTTCGTTTTCACACCAGCAATCGTGTGCGGGGAGGCAAGAAGTGAGAGGCAGGGGAGCATCCCGGAGATTTATTTCAGGGATAAGTAGAGGGGGACAGAGGGAAGGAAGCAATTCTGCTTGTGGAAATCCTTTCCCTAGTCTAAAAAAATCACCCCCCACAAAAACTACCTACAAAACCCTGGTGAGCGCGTCTGAAGGATTTTGTTTTGAAAAGCTGCTCCCTGCCCCAGGTCACCGCGAAGGAAAGAAGGGTGCGCGGGGCTGCGGGAGGCGGGCACCCCGCACCTCTGGCCGCAGATTTTCCCTCCAGAGAGTTCAGGTGCCCCGGGTTTTCAATAATAAACACGTGCTCTCCTTGTCCTCATTCGTGACAGTTTTTGAAAAGGAAAATAAGCCACACCAAGAGGAGACGTCTGTGCATAAAAACCTGTCTACACCCGGGCTGGAGAGGCAACGGAAGGAAAGGCCACCTACCATTTATTTTTATAAACATCGTAATAAAAAACACAGATTGGAAGCGACGGCTATAAATAACATGTGCTGTTTTCACTCAGGGTTTACCCGGGCCCTGAAGGCCTTGCGCCGGGACCGGTGGCCGCCCCGGTCCTCCCCTGCTGGCTCACGGCCCGTCCCCGCGCCTCGCCGGCTTGGCAAGCGGAGACCCTGCACCTCGCGGCGTCTGGGCGCACCCCGGAGCCGGCTTCTGCTCCCCCCAGTCAGGAACCCCCCCCATCCGCCCCGGGCCACCTCCGGGACCTGGCCCTTGGCGGAGGACACCTGACGGAGAGGAGAGGCGGATGGGTTACGGGCTTCCTTCCTCAGCGACTCACGGGCCCGCGGCCTCACAGATGTTCTCCCCGGGTTTGTTTTGATAGCTTGTTTCAAAAACAGTTCATATCCACCAACTGTTCAGATAATACTATTCCAAGTGGCAAGCAACTGTGATTATTTTGGTTGCTGTTTATCCTGGCGAGCCCAGTCCAGCTGGAAAACATGGGGCCGGGCGGGGCGGGGGGGGGGTCCCCTTTCTTGCTCTTCTTATTGTTGCCCCTATTGGCCGGTGGGGAGTCATTTCAGCTTTCTTCACGTGGGAGCCCTGTGTTCCCAGGAGAAGAGGAGGGGGGAAGAGTCAGATGGTAGTATGTGGGTATTCCTGGGGCTGATAACCCTCCCGCAGCCGAGGCCTCTTTCACAATCCCACCCACAACTTTTCTGGACGCGCTTGTGCCTGGATTGAGGGGGGCCTGGCTTGGGGGTGGAGTTGATCATTTGAACGGACTCCCTCTCCAACGTCCCACACATTCCAGGCCTAAAATCAAACTTCCATGTGCCCGCCCAGCCCCAAGCTCTCCTGCCAGCTTCCCTAAATGGACAAAGGCACCCACCCGCTGCATCCTCAGGCACCGGGGTGGGCCTGCTGTCCCCGCTGACATTCCTCTCTCTCCCTAGACCTCCAAAGTCAGTGCTTTGCCAAGCCCCACGGATTTTCCTGGGCCGTTTTTATCTCTGGCATCCATCTGCTGTTCTGCATCCTCACTGCCTCCACGCACAGTTGGCCCCATCCCCTGTCCCTTTCACTGTGGCAGAAACTTGCCTCCACTGTCCCAGATTTTCCCCCTCGCCTTCCATTGCTCCCTCCCACCTGCTGCTAGGCTCAGCTTCACTGTTGTCGCTCTCCTGTTCAAAACCCCTCACTGACTGCCCACTGAGTGCAGAGTGGAGTCACAGAGCATCTTGCCTGCCAGGCCAGGCCCTCCATACTCTCATTCTAACCTGACTTTGCCCCGGATCCTTCTACTTTCCTATACAGATCTTTCCCATTGCGCAGGCAGGCTCACTAGTTCCTGACCACATCTGTGCTTTCTAGCTGGGCCGCCATGTGGCCGAGTCTAGGGCTTGCCCCCTCACCTGATAAACTCCACCAAGGTACTTCCTGGCTTTGTGCAGCCCATGCGACCAGAGAACCCCTGGGCCTTTGGACATGCTGCTTCTTCATTCTGGGGCACCCTCCTCTCCCAGCTCCACCCATCAGAACCGCACTGTTCTCAAGCTCCACTTCTTCCTTGAGCCTTTAATGGACACCCTTGCTAGAAAGGGTGGCTCTTATTCCTAAGTCTCTGAAAAAAATTGTATCTGAAGTGTTTAGTATTTCTTCGTGCTTATGTGTCAGATTTTTTTTTTTTATTAAAGATTTTATTTATTTATTTGAGACAGAGCGAATGAGAGAGACAGAGAGCACATGAGAGGGGGGAGGGTCAGAGGGAGAAGCAGGCTCCCTGCCGAGCAGGGAGCCCGATGCGGGACTCGATTCCGGGACTCCAGGATCATGACCTGAGCCGAAGGCAGTCGCTTAACCAACTGAGCCACCCAGGCGCCCTGTGTCAGATTTTATTAGAACACAAACCTCCTTAAGGATAAAGACCATGAATTACATTTCTGTATATAATTTGCTGTGCCTAGCACTCCGGATGGCCCACAGTAAATGCTCAGCAAATTTCTGCTGGATGAATGAAAGAGTGGATGATTTATGCTGGGCTCGGGCCTACCGGATTTCACCATTAACCTCCGCTTGCGTTAAATTCAGGCACATCTATTAGGTCTTTTCTCATCCTTCTTTGCTACTAGACTGCAGGCAAGGATTGAATAGAACAGGAAGGATGTTCTATCATCCAGACTCACATAATGGTGAATCGGGAATTCTCAGGTATGTGAGTGTGCAACATCCAAGCCATCGTTCCAAGCCCTGAGTTCCAGGACAAGTCTCCAGCGCACAGGGATACAGGAGGCAGGGGCTATGGGTGAGGGAGCTTGGGGCCCCTGCCCCCCACTTCACCAGATCAACTCTGCTTAATATCTGTGTCACCTCTTGAGGTCTGATAGAAGCCAAATGCAATTAGAGGCCTTTTTTTTTTTTTTTTTTTTAATGAAAAACCAAATCAAACCATAGATATGGTCCTAGGTAAAAATTCCAAACTCTTAAGAGAAATGTCTGTCTAAACCTATTTGTACGGGTCTTAAAGTACATGCCACGGCTTTCAATCCAGGGCAGTCCGGGCAACTATGACAGGACAGCCCACAGCAAAGCGCCAACACGTCCAAATGTCCGGGGTCCAGGGGAAGAGCAGGAGGGGGGGGGGTGTGGGTGCCATGAACAAGTTGTGTAACTTAGTCCCAGTTCTCACCTCCCTAGACTCTGCACTCACTCCGAAGCGCAGAGTGCCCAAGTGGCCACCGCAGGGTGGCGCGGAGGTCGCAGAGGTCAGGAGCCTGCGCCCCAGGGAGCCCGTCCTGGGCAGACAGTCGTAGCCAGAGGTGACGCTCAGGCCGAGGGCGCCGGGTGCGGGCGTCCTAGCCTCTGCCTGGACCTGTTCATCTGGAAGGCCCTCTCTAGCTCTAACGTTTCAGACTCTGACTCAGCTGGCAGCCGCGTGGACCCGGTTGCTGGGGGAAATGCTGTGTGCACATTTATTCTGGGGTTGGATATTTAAGGAGCAGGGAGTGTTGCGCTACATTTCGGAAGTGCTTCAAGAGGGAGGGGGCTGCAGACTGGGCTTTTCTTTAAACAGTTATAGATATCCTGTCCCGATCTCTCGGTCCACAAAGAGTAATTTTCTTCCCCTAAGAATCTGACGTGGGTCCTGCCCATTGTGTCTGCCTGGCTGGCTCCGGGCTGCTCAGTCCGGCAGGAAGCAGGTGGCCCGAGGTGGGACATGTGCCCAGCCCCCTCCCCGGCTGGCCGTGGGTCCCCTTCCAAGTGCCACCCCACTGCCATCCCGCTTCCAGAAAGCAAAGCGTGGCAGCGGCCCCTTAAGCTGCTGGGAGGGAAGCAGAGTGTTGGTCGGGTTCTCCTCGATCACCCTCCCCTGGGGATGACAAGATGGAGATCCCTGGGCTCTCGGGGGTCTCGGCATAGGTGGGGACACTGGGGAGCCCAGGCTTCCTCTTCCACGCCCGCTGTTTTCATGGGCTCAGGAAACTGACCGAAAGCTGGGACTTTGTTTTCAAAGCCCTGCGTCATTTTTACTATTTAAACGGCCACTTTGGGCTGCTTTTAGGGAGGTGGTTCTTTTGTCGCTTTTCTCACTCAGGATGTTGTTTCCAGTAGATTTCCTCACAGACTCTGTCTGCTGCCTTTGTTTGCCTCTCCGACTGCACATGGAGAAGTCTTCGAGAATCCAGGCTGAATCAGTGAATTGGACCTGTGGTGCTGTGAGGAGCACAGTTAAATTTTTCTCTGATGACATTTATTGTTTTCCTTTCTGCTCACAGAGGTCATCTTGTCCACATGCTCATTATAGCACATTTGAGAAATAGAGGAAATAAACGTAGGTGATGGAAGAGGAAAGTTGGTATCACCCACAGTCTCGCGGCCAGAGACCCACCACTAGCGGCCTCCCCATGTGGTTTGTCTTTCTCTCTTTGTTTCTTTTTTCTGGCTGGGCTCATACTACACGTATTGTTAAGGAACCGGCTTTTTACACCCAACACTGACATTAACATGGTCCCAGGCCCTTGGAAGTTTTATAGGCACCACTTTTAAGCCTCTTTTGCTCTCCTTCGGCTCTGCCACCAGCAAAGCAGCATCAAAGACAGTAGCCAGTGTTCCCGAGGAAAGAGGGACGGGAAAACTGAACAGATACCATCATTTGGGTCTGTGTGGAAAGCCGAGATGGCTGGGCTGGTGGATGACTTTTATTTTCTTCTTTCTCTTCTATGGTTTGCACGGTTTTCTGGAGCAAATCCCCGAGAAGAGGCGGAATGATGCAGTGATCAGCAGTGCGGGCTGTGGCATCCGGCGGCGTGGGTTCCTTGCTGCCGCTTTCCAGGTGAGCGGCCCGCCGAACTGCGCTGTGACTCAGTTTCCTTGTCTCTACAGTGCGAACAGTGATGCTATTGCCTTAGGTGGTAGGTAGGTTCTGAAGTTCAGATGTAGTGATGCATGAGAAGCCCGGTACTTACGGGGCAAACAGTGACCACGGTGGCTTTCCATTAGCCTTGTAATAGTAGAAATGCTAAGAGTTATGGGCTTATGCGCTGAATCGTGTCCCCTTCAAATTCATCTTTGATGTCCTAACCCCCACAGCTCAGAATGTGACTGTATTTAGAGATTGGGCTTACAAAGGAAATTGAGTCAAAGTGAGGTCATCAGAGTGGGCCCTAATCCTGTAGGACGGGTGTCTTTATAGGAAGAGATGGGGACCCAGACACCCCCAGAGGGGAGACCACGTGAGGGTACCTAGTAAAGGTGGCCAACTACAAGCCAAAGAGAGAGGCCTCCGAAGAAACCAACCCTGCCAACACTCTGATCTCGGGCTTCCAGCTTCCGAAATTGTGAGAAAATAAATTCCTGTTGGTTAAGCCCCCCAGCCTGTGGTACTTTGTGATGGCTGCCCTAGCAAATAATGTAGTTCCTTGGTAGGGGTATCGGCACTGCTGTTGTTTACGGCCTCTCTGCCCTGAGTTCCTTACAATCTAAGAGCAGTGCCAAGAGGTCTAAGAGACGGTGGAAGGGTCTCATACAAAGAGAAAAGAGCTCCTGCCACGGACCCAGCAGAACAGCACCGTTCCCCTTGCCCACTCCTGGAAGCTTCCTCCTCTTCCCGGCATGCTCAGTGTCCTTGGGATCTCCTCGGGGCCCCCACGCTCATGCCTCACCACAACTATTTCTCCCCAGAGAGCAGCCAAGACTCTCAGCTCCATTTGGAGGGAATTCACTCCTTCCTCCTCCAGGAGCCGTGGCCAGCCCGTTTCCCAGAGAATGCCCTCTTTCCCTGAAGGTGTATCTGCATTTGAATGAAGGGGTTTTAAATCCTCCAGACACCAACGAGAGAGAACGTGTTGACCCAGGCTCCCTTTGCATCAAACACGATGGTTTCTTAGGCTCGGATTTCTTTTGAATGCTTAAGTATATTTATTTTTTATTATTGTTTTAAAATTTATTTTGTTGTGGTAAGAACACTTAATAAGAGATCTACTTTCTTAACAAATTTTTAAGTGTATAATACATTGTTGTTGAAGGTAGGTACACGCTTGCCCAGTAGCTCTCTAGAGCTTATTCATCTTTTTTTCAACTGAAACTTCATGCCTGTTGATGAGTAACTCCCCTTCCCGCCCCTGGCAACCACCATTCCACTCTCTGAGTCTGTGAATTTGACTTTTTTTATTTTAGATCCTTCATATAAGTGGGGTCCTGTCTTTCTGGGACTGGCTTATTTCACTTAGCACAATGTCCTCAAGGTTCATCCATCTTGTCCCATATTACAGAATTTCTTTCTGTTAAGTCGGAATGGTATTCCATGGTACGTATCCACCCCATTTTTGTTATCCAGTCATCTGTAGATGGACATTAGGCTGTTACCACATCTCGGCTATTATGAATAGTGAATGCCAGAGTACTAACATCTCTGTGAGATCTTGATTTCAGTTCTTTAGGATAAACGCACAGCCGTGGGATGGGATCGCAGGGTGGGATTTTAAAGACGGGGAAAGGAGGTCCCTGGGAGATGCACGTGCAATCTCTCCTCAAATTATCTGAGCACAGCTGCCCTCTACTGAGAGTGCACAAGTGGGGAAAAAGTGGCTGTTGGGTTGGAATACTTTTGTCTTTGCAAGCTGAGGGTCAGCTCCTTCTCCTCGGCTAGACAGGTAACCGCTACGCCTTGTCTGCTAAGCCCACCCCTCTCCAGGCACCCTATTTTCTCAAGAGACAGTCTTATAAATCTGGCTAATGACTCCCATTTCATTTCCCCAAACTCCATAGAGGGAAATTAAAATGAAGCTCAAATACTTGCCAGGTTATTCATGGGAAAGACCTTTGGCTTTTAAAGAATGCATTTTAGATGGCTGGATTAATCGAGTGGCACATTACAATATGGCCCTGCTGAAGTTTGCAGGAGGTCCCTGGCACCTGGTGTTGTGCATTACACAATGCTGCCAGGGAGCATGAATTATCTTTACAGGAAGAGGCAGGAATTAATATGTCAGAGGGAAAAGACCTACTGGCAGCACTTGGTGAAAGCCCCGGACCCTTGCTCCTTGTCAAGGTCTTGCAAGGTGGAGTCATGATCACACAGCTCAAGAGCGAGCGTCCTGAGCAGGCTCCTCTCCGAGAAGGGTCCAGGGCAGAGCAGCAGAGAATTTATGCACTGCCCCTCTCCATCTGGCCCTGCTCACCTACGAGGGTGGAAGCCGGAGTCTTTGCAGCCTTGGAAAGAGACACTTACCTAGATGCTTAATTTATGACAGGCATGTTGAAAAAAAATGCTGATTTCATTCATTTTATTACCTCCCTGGCACAGCAAGTTAATTAAAAAAAAAGCATGATTACTGCCTTGGGCTCACTTAAGAGGTTGATTTGTAATGTAAATCTATGCATTTGTACGGTACATACATTGATAGAAAAGTAATAATAATGATGATAGCGTCTATCACTAAATTAGTTGCAGACCGGGGGTGGGGGAAGGAGTTATACACAGGTTATTTATAACCCTGCCAGGCCAATGTTAGTCAATTCATTTTATTGATGGAGAAACTGAGGCTCAGAGTGGTCAAGGCGTTTGCCCAAGGTCACACAGCTGAGATGCGATATATTGGAATTTGACCTCACTTACAGGATAGTATTTGTGGCAGGGTGAACTGGAAATTCTCTCTGTCCACCCTGCTCCATCCCACCATCTGCGTCCCCCTGATCATCACCATGGTCAAGGGAGGACCCTGGGCATTAGGGAGAAACAAGACTGACAGTGCGGTTCACCATTCTGTAATGTGAGGAAGCTGAGGACTATGACCTGAAGCAGACTATATGCTGCCTACAGAAGTGCAATTTTAATAAGAGACTAGTAGGTTAAACGTAAAAAGATGAAAAAGGATACACTATGTTAACCATTAATCAAAAGAAAACTGGAGAGAGGATATTAATATAAGACAAAGTAGATTACAGAGCAAACAACATTTCCAGGGAGCAAAAATGTCATTTCATAATGATAAAGGGATCAATTAATCAAGAGGACATAACAATTCTGAATGTTTATGTACTGAGTGACAGTCCTTCAAAACACACAAAGCAAAAATTGACAGAACTGCAAGAAGAAATAGACAAATCCACAGTTATAGTCCAAGATTTCAATACCACTCTCTCAATAATTACTAGAACAGGTGGGCAGAAGATTAGCAAGGACACAGAAGACTGGGACAACACTAGCCACCCACTTCTCTTGATTGACATTTATAGATCACTGCAATCAACAAGACTGGAACACATGTTCTTTGCAAGTATACGCCCAGAAGATGTTGCCAACTATCTCATACTCTGGTCTATAAAACAAGTCTCAATATATTTAAGCATATTCAAGTCATATAAAGTAACATCCTCTGACCATGGTGGAAGTAAATTGCAAATCAATACCCAATATTTGGAAGATCTCCAAAAAATTGTAAATTAAACAACACCTTGGTAACTACCCAGTGAGTCAGAGAAGAAATTATATGATTATCTTAATAGCCATATAAAAAGCATTTACAAAATCCAACGTTTGTTCCTAAATAAACACACACACACACACACACACACACTGTAGAAGACTAGTAGTAACTAGCCTCTATTTCATAAGAGGCACCTACAAAAATATATAATTAACATCCTAATTGCTGGTGGGAGACTAAATCCTTTCCCTCCCCTAAGGTCTGGAATAAGAGATGTCTGCTTTACAACTTCTGTTTGACATTGTACTGGAGGCACTAACTGGGGAAATTAGGAAAGATAAAGACATAAGAGACATTGCTTGCAGACAATATGGTCATCTATGATTGAAGTGATCAACTAAGAAGTGAATTATTGCAAGCCTGCAGGGTACAATATCAATATACAAAAATCATTTTCTTGTTTCTTGTTTTGTTTTTAGAGAGGGAGAGAGAATGTGGGGGCAGAGGGAGAGGGAGAGAGGGGATCTTAAGCAGGCTCCACGCCCAGCTTGGAGCACGATTTGGGGCTCGATCTCACAACCCTGATATCATGACCTGAGCTGAAATCAAGAGGCAGATGCTTAACTGACTGAGCCATCCAGGTGCCCCCCCCCACCCAAATCACATTTATTTCTATATGCTGACAATGACCAACCAGGAGTTGGAATTAAGAAAAAAATAATATCATTTACAATAGCATCCAAAAAAGTGAAATTGGAATAAATCTGACAAAAGACATGCAAGATCTGTACACTGCAAACTGTGAATCATTGCTGATGGAAGCTGAAGAATACCTAAATAAATTGAGAAAGGTACCTTGTTATGGGTGAGTAGACTCACTATGGCTAAGATGTCAGTTCTCCCCACATTGATCTATTTATAGATTTAACACAATTCCTACCAAAATCCCAGTTGTTTTTATGTAGAAACTATCAATTGACTAAAATTCATGTGGAAATGCAGAGAACCTAGAATAGCCAAATAACTTTGAAAAGGAGGAATGGCTACCTGATTTTAAGACCGTTAAAAAGTTAGGACTTTAAGCTCTTTCTTATATCTCTTTTTAAGCACAAAACCTTGCCTGCGACTCCCTAGAAGTCTTCTCATTGACCTGACGTTGAGGACGAGCTTTGTGGGAAGACCTGGGGGCTGTTCCAGAGAAGGGGAATGGATAGATGTGCGACACACAGAAATAAGAGTTATTCATCCTAGGAGGGCCACAAGAGGAATTCATGGTGAGCCACTCATTCTCTCTGGTAACTCCCAGTAAACCAAATGTGGTTGCAGGGGGCGTGATCATGCTGGACCAACGACACACCTCAGGGCCACAGAGCCCGGGAAACAGTGGGAGGGTGGTATTAAAGAGACCCTTGATGAAGACGTAAGAATGTGAAATGTCTTCCCTTGTGAGGCACAGGGAAAGTCTAAGGGAGCAAAACTTCCCACTTTGTCCCTTTTCCAACGATATCACCTTTAGAACAGTCGGCATTGTTCAGTGGAGAATTTCTTACAGGGAATGCAGTCCTGGGCATTGGGCAGCCCTAGGTTGACAGGACCGTTAAATGGGAATAATAATTCCCTAGGAAACAGGAGGGGACTCTTCCTCCTTCTTTCCTGGTCCAAGCCCCTCAGATGGAGGACAGGGGAAAGGGTGGCCATTGAAGAAAGTCCGGGAGCTCTGGGGTGCCAAAGAAAGTCAATGAGGGGGAAAGGAGGGGGAGAGGGGGTTAACACCCAGTCCTCAGAATATCCTGTGGATGGAATAGCCAGCCTTCAGTTACAGAAAGGGTTGCTGCCCGAGTAATATTGGAATGACACATAACAAACAAAGTAACTTGCAACTTCTCTCAGAAGGAGCTGCTCTTAGAGTCCACAGACAGAGACCTCGCCCCGAGGCCCCTTTCCTGATCCCCCCTTTCCCTAGCTCTCTGTGCCCTCACCATGGAAACTTCCAGATGGCAATCCCTCCATGCTATAGGTCTGGGGAAGCAGACAGGAGGCCTCAAATAGAGGAAGACACGTCCCCTCTCAATTCAGTCTCATTTCTGGCCCCCAAACTGACATCTTCCCAGGTCACACACAAAGATGTGTTCTTGTCCTTTGGCCACCACTCCTAGTACACTAGAATGATAATAAAATTGCAAAACGTAATGTCTGCTATGTGCCAGGCACTGTTCAAAGTGCTGTACAAATAGCGACTCTTCGAATGCTCACAACTGCATGTGGGAGTTGCTATTATTATTATTCCCATTTAACGGTTGTGGAAACTGAGGCACAGACATGTTAGTAACTTAGCCATGACAAGTCTCTGTGTCTTCCCTGAACTCCTTTTCCATTCAGCTCCATCTTTTTTGGAAACAGTTGTGCCTTAAGAACCTGGTGCCTTAAGAACACCAGGTGATACAGAGAAAACAACCACGTTATAAATACATACACCCAATTCCCATTACTGAAGAGAAACCTTAACTTACTGGTCTTTTTCAAACTACTTTACTATGTTCAGGTTTCTCAACAGGTTCTTACTTTACTACCATTGGCCCATAATGATGATTTTCTTTTTCCCTCAGGAGAAAGGAACGTTTGTCCCAGGACGACTTGGTATCTCCTTGGAAGACCAAAACTGCTGACACTATAAAAATGGGACAGTTTTTAACTACCAAATCCGTGGTGGTCAAGACTGTGTGTGGGGTGTGGAACAGGAAGAGAGGCCAACCCCTGACTTTCACTACAGATCCCTACCACAGAGGATGTCAGACCGAATGTTAGAAACCAGGCTGCTGTATCCAGACTTCATCTCTTTCTTTTTAACTGTTTATTTTGAAGTAGTTACAGATTCCTAGGAAGATGTGAGGCTAGTAGAGTTGTCCTGTGGACAATTTCTCCAGCTTCCCTACAAAGGTGACATCTTAGACAGAAACAGAACAATGAGAAGGATAGACATTGGTACAGTGGTGTCACACATCGGGCCATTTTATCACATGCCCACATTTGTGTGACCAGCACCTTAGTCAAGATCCAGAACTCCTTCCTCATGATGAAGATCTCCCTCCTCCTCCTCCTCCTCCTCCTCCTCCTCCTCCTCCTCCTCCTCCTCCTCCTCATTCCTATCCCTTGGCCACCACGAATCTGTTCTCTACCTCTTTAATTTTGTCATTTTGAAAATGTTATGTAAATAGAAGCATAGACTATTTACCTTTAACGTAATTATTCATATATTAGGGGCTAAGTTGGCCTTTTTATTTTTTGTTTTCTGTTTGTTCCCTTTGTTTTCTTCTGTTTTTGTTTTTCTGTACTTGAACATTTTTCAGAATTCCATTTTGATTTTTCTATAGTATTTCCAAATGTATCTCTTCGTGTAGATGGTTTAGTTGTTGGTTTAGGTATTATGTTATACGTACATAATTTATAGCAGTCCACCGCTGTTGACATTTTACCAGTTTGAGTCAAGTGCTGAAACCCTCCCTCTTTTTCAGTTCCTATTACTCTCCCTTGTTTATGATATAATTTCCTTAAGTATTCCTCTTCATGCATTTAGAACCGATTGAACTCTGTTATAATTTTTGTTTCAACCAAACACAATTTAGAAAATTCAAGAAGTCTATTGTATTCATCTTTTTTATATTCTTCCCATTGTTCTTTTTCCCTCCCAGAAGCTTCTTTCTGTTCAAGAATTTTCTTTAGGTGTTTTAGACTATGTCTGCAGACCACAGATTCTCTTAGTTTTCCTCATCTTAAAATATATCTCTTTACTTATGAAGGATATTTTCACTGGATACAGGAGTCTGGGTCAACGGTTCTTTTCTTTCAGCACTTGGAAAATGTGGTGCCACTTCCTTTGGGCCTCTGTGGTTTTTGATGAGAAATTCTCTGTCATTCAAATTGTTCCCCCCCCTTAAGGTAAGGTATTGTTTCTCTCTGCTTTCAAGAACTTCTTTGTGGGGGGCGCCTGGGTGGCTCAGTTGGTTAAGCATCCAACTCTTGATTCCAGCTCAGGTCATGATCTCAGAGTCTTGAGATTGAGCCCAGTGTCAGGCGGTGTGCTCAGTGGGGAGTCTGCTTGAGATTCTCTCTCTCCCTGTCCCTCTGCCCCTCCCCACCATGCATACACTCTCTTTCTCTCTAAAATAAATAAATAAATCTTTAGAAAAAAGAATTTTTTTTTGTCTTTAGTTTTTAGAAGTTTGACTATGATATGTCTTGGTATGGTTTTCTCTGGGTTTATCCTGTTTAGGCTCCATTCAGCTTCTCAGATCTGTAAATTTATGTCTTTTGCTGAAGTTTGGAAATTTCCAGCCATATTTCTTCTAATGCCTTTTCAGCCCTTTTCCTCTCCTTTGGGGACTCTGGTGACATGAATGTTAGATCTTACAGGATAGTCCCACAGGTCCCTGAGGCTCTGTTCATTTTTTTTTTTTTTATTCTATTTTCTTTCTTGTTTAGACTGGGTACTTTCTATTGTTTTATGCTCAAGTTTATTTATCCTTTCCTTTGCCCTTTCCATTCTGTTGTCAAGCCCATCTGTTAAGTATTTAAAATTTTGGTAATCATCTATTTTTCAGTCCCCAAATTTCCATTTAGAGAATTTACATGCTTGCATCTTCTATTTCTTGGTTGAGACCTTTCTTTTTTGTAAGTGGGTTTGTAATTGCTCATTGGAGCATTTTTATGATGGCTGTTTTAAATTCCTTGTCACATAATTCTAACATTTGTATTGTCTTGGTGTTGGTGTGTATTGAATGTCTTTTTTCACTCATTGTGATTTTCCTGCTTCTTGGAGTGGTAAGTGCTTTTTGTTTGTGTCCTGAACCTGGATATTGTGTTACCAGACTCTGCCTTTTATTTAAATCTTCTTTTTTAGCAAGTTTCCACTGACACTGCATGGGTCAAGGTGAGGCAGAGCTCTGCCCCACTGGATGGTGGTGAAAATTGTGGTTTCCCATCCCCCTTCCTCTGACATTGGGGGAGGGGGAGGTGCCACCTCATCACTACTGGGTGAGTGTGGGAATTCAGGGTCCCTATGTGGTCTCCACTGGCCCTAGGGAGAGGGTTATAACTGGTGGGTGGGACTGAAGTTTCCAGATCCCTACTCAGTCTTCTCTAATGCCAGTGTAGTGGGCAGGAGAAGGAAGGGCACCTCATTACAGCAGGCGATGTGGATAGGGAGGCTCCCGGTTCTACCTGTGCCGATGGAGTGGCAGTATGACAACATTTTTTCCCTTGGTGCCTGGCTGGGGGTGGAGTGGTTATTGTCTAAAAGTTTTCCATCTTGTTAGGTTGCCCCCTTTCTTGGTCCTTTATCTAGGGAAATATACTTACTTGCCAATATTTACATTTATATTAAATATTTGTATATAAATATATAAAATAAATATATTTATTACTAAAGATATAAATATATATTTATCCCAGCGTTTTTATTTGTTTTTAACAGGTGGAACAGAGAAAGTGTTTATACTCCGTCTTGGTCTGGAGATCTAATCTTAGAAGAAAAGAATCCTCCATCCCAAAGCACAAAGAGAAGGATTAGTCTTGACCACTGCCAATGCCCCAGCAGCAGCAGCAGCTCAGTGGACAGACCACCCAGATGGGAGCAGAGACTGTTTGCTAAGCAGAGAGCTCTCAGCTTTTGACTCATAACACAGACTTGATCCATTCAGTATGTTTTCAACTGTTCAGCCATTTTATTCACTAGATTTTGTTTTGCAGAAACAAGCCCCCTCCTTCTAAAAGTGAAGATTTGCCATTGTAAGATTTAAAAGAAAAAAAGTCCTACTGACCTTGAAAACTTTTCTAGAAGCAAAGTTATAGCACTGTAGTTAGAGTGCATACTGCCCTCCAAGAGAACTTATTTATTTGGGGTAGCACTGCTGAAGGTATTTTTTATCAAACAAAACAAAACAGAAACAAGTCACCTTCCTTCAGACATAATCTCTCCCCTCTACCTTCACTGGGTCTCAGGGACTCCTGGGGACTTCTGTGTTATTATAACTTCCTGGAGAAAGGCCAGGCTTTGGGCTCCAATAAATCAACAAAAATGTGTTATATCAATGGATGCACAACATTGGCTTTAGCCCTGGAAGTTTTGTTAAGGATTCAGTGACCAGTTTCACTTGCAAATAACAATTAGTTACCCAACACCTACAGGCTAAATTTAACAACAAGTACAACATTTCTGCCAATGTTTTCTTTTTTAAACCTTCATTCCTTTACTCATTCAACAAATATTTACTGAACACGTATTTTGTGCCAGGCACTGCTCTAGGTGCTGGAGATAAAGCACCAAAGAAAACAAACAGAACTCTGCCTTCATGTTGGCTGACATTCTATTGGGAAGACATATGATAAACGTAGTAAGTAAATGAAATACATAGCACGTTGGAAGGTGATAAGTGCTCTGGAGGGAAATGAAGCAGGAAGGGAAGTGGGAGTGCCTGTAGGTCGGGTTGCATTACAATAGTGTGGTTAGGGAAAGCCTCATTGAGGGAGTGACATTTGAACAAGAACTTGAAGGAGGGACAAGCCAGGTAGGGAGGGAGACATTTGGATTGCAGGGCCAAGACACTCCACACAGTAGTGACAGCCCTGAGATGAGAGTATGCCTGGTTTGAGGAATGCCAAGGAGGCAGAGAAGACTACACTCGGTAGACTACCAGTCAGGTCAAGTAAAGACAAGTCTTGCAAGTGAAGTCTTCCCGGGAACCGGCCAGGTGTGGGAATGGGGGCCAGGCCATTGCTTTTTGCTGAGATTGCAGGCTGCTGGTTTTCAAGGCTACTATGAAACTGGGGAATGGGGGATGAGAATCAGTTAAGTTACAACACCATAAAGCTCAGTGTTCTTACTGAGATTCTGCCTTTTTTTTTTTTCTTCCAGTAAACTCTCCTCAATTGCGGCAAGTCCTTTGGTTAATTTTCTGAGTTCTGTAAAAGTTGATTCTGCTGATTTTGGCCACAGTTCTCATTGTTTTTACAGAGGAGAGGATTTTCAGAGGTCTTCACTCCATCATTCCCGCTGCCATCGCTCTTGAAAGGACACTTGAGGCTCGAAATCGACATAAACCAAGTTGACTCTGGGAACGTACCCAGAGTTTTCAGTGGACATGCAGTTTGGTTGGACCAGGGGCCCCATGCTGCAGGAGAGTGGGAAGAAGGCAGAACAGACAGCTTGAAGCTGTTTTCAAACTGGCATTCAAAGTTTTTGAGGAGAAAAGTGAACATGGTGAAAATAATGTTTTAAGATTAATCCGGCAGGGAGTCTAGGAGGTGAGCAAGAATAGAAGCAAGAAGACCAGTTCCTTTGGTCGGAAGGGAATAATTGTGTACCTGGGAGAAGCGATAAGAATAGGTTGGTGTGAGAGCTTTCTGAAGGAAGCTTCTGTGGAATGGCCAACGACTGGTTATAGGGGAAAGCTTCAAAGTACATGTGTGCATATAATTGTTTTCTGGAGTTATTGCTAGTGAGATGCCAACCCCTCAAGTTTTCTGCCTGCTAGCCCAGAAGTTATATAGCTCCCAAGGGGGTCCTTCTGGCTTCCCCCTCTTATTCCACTTGCCCCCCATGAATGACCCTCCCAGTGAAATAGTGGAGTATCTTGAAGTTCATGGCCAGTAATTTCCCCCAGTGGTCTGCTCCTGGGTGGGGAGGCAGAGTTGGTGTTCACACAGCCAGGCTTGACTGTAAGCACATGAAATTCTTGAATCATAGGGGCCCCTAATTTAAAAAAAAAAATCAATATGTTTGTCATCCATTTGCTGGTGGGGGGCACTGTGCTGAGCAAAAGAGGAACCTGGCACTTTCCTTCTGGGTTATCACTGATAACCAGAACCTCTTTTCTAGGTACACTGGCCCAAAGGTAAGGGGGTGTGTGGGGGGCGGGATCTGAAATCAGACACAGCAGGTGCTGAGATTCCTCCCCGCCCCTCCCGTGCTGCTCTGTCTCCCAAATGGTGGATCCAAACCCTTCTTTAGGTATCTCCAGACATTTGGATCTTTCAGACTATCAGAGACACACCTCAAGTTCTGGGCCAGATCAGGCCAACATTAACCTTAGAAGTGGGGAGACTGATTAAGTCAGACACAAAGTATTTCCCAAAGTGTATTCCATGGAATTCTGGTCTCATGAGTGTCTCCTCAGAAAGAGGTCTAACAAGCTGAGGAAATGCTCCATTCTCTATTCCCTGTTATATGAGTTACAGTGTCACAGTGCATGTTGGTCTTGGAAAGCTCTGAGAAGTCCTATAATAAGAAACTTTCAATCTATTTAACTTAGCATTTCCTAGTCCTCACTGACCATAGAACTCGTTTTCCTTTGGACAATCCACTTTGGAGCCAGGCCTTTAGCAAGTGTCCCTTACTCTCTTCCCCTATCTTTCTCTGGTCAGACACAATATGGCAGCCGTTCACATCCTTGTTCTGGGGGCTTTAATCAGTGCAGACCCTTGAAAAAATGAGGACTTCAGTTCGGCACATGGCTGCCACTCAGACAGCCCAGATGGGACAAATCTGCTCTGCCAAATTGTCCCCGAAGGTCCTGAAAGCTTAGAGTTTCCTAGAGACTTAGAAGCTCCAACTGCTATCTTATCTCAGACCTTCCTCTAGGGTCCTCAGTGTAAAGTGGGGTAAATAGTAACTACTAAATTTGCGGGATTGTGGTGAAGTTATTTAATACATGATCATGTATGTCAAGGGCTCAGGACGGTTCCTGACACACAGTGAGCTCTGTACGTGTTCGCAAGTCTTGGTCTGAGGACCTTTTCTTTCCTTTTCTTTTTTCCTTTTCTTTTCCTTTCCTTTCCTTTCTTTTTTCTTCTCTTGCCTGAGGACATTTGTTAATGAACTTTTTTTGTATTCATTATTGTTAAATTATGATTATTATATAATGTTAGCTGGATCTATTCTTCTTCTTCTTCTTCTTCTTTTTTGTATAAATGGTCAAATAGTCCTAAGCAGTTGTCTGTCTTGCATACAAGTGCATGCGAACACACACACACACACACACACACACTCCACTCTCTTCCTCTGAATTCACTGATTCCCACTGATCTATGTCTCAGGGCCTGGGGCCCATTACAGGCCCCCTGAGGTATTAACTCAAAAGATGAGAGAAAGAGAAAAGAGACTTTCTTTGGGGAAGAGAGATGGGAGGAAAGGGGGGGGCGCTGCAGATATATAGGACCATTGTTCAGTGAAGGTCCCAGCAGTTTTATAGGGGAACAACACAGAGAGCCCTGGCCCAGCCGTTCCCACTGAGGCCAAGAAGAAGCCACTGGGCTCTGTAAATCTCTCTGAGGTAAGGTGTGTGTATCATGTGTTAGAAAACACTGTCGCACGTGCGGGAAGGAAAAAGGATGTAAGCGAATGGGAAGGACATTTCCCCCAGAGGTAAATGCCGGCTGGGAGGGCGGAGGCGCCCTTCTCCCAAAGAGAGGAAATGGCCGGGTTGGGTGTGCTCTCCGCTGCCCACCCTCCCCCGCCTCCCCCGCCTCCCCCGCCTCCCCCTTGCAAGAAGCCCAGAGGACTGCTCCCCCCAGTACAAGCAGGCACTGGGAATGAGGTAACAGCAAAGGGGTGTTTGCCTGTCACCATGAGGGAGCATTTCCGAGAAAGTGGGCTGGCTCTGGAGAGCTCAGCCTTTCCTCCCAGGTCTCCTTTTCTGAAGGGATGGGGACAGAAAGGAAGCCAAGGAGACCGGGCCAACATTTCCAAACAGAAGAGGTGTGTCCCTGACCCTCAGAGGGCAAGAACTGGGCATGCCACAGTGCCACATTGGGAAGCGTGCCGCCCGGCACTGCGGTGCTGTACCCATGTCACTTACCATGCTTGAATGACCAGTAAAAAGCTCTTCAAAAAATACATGCCTCTTTGTGCATCTTGGCCAGGTAATTAAAGGTGACGAGGTGACACAAACCTCCCTGGCCGGCCCTTCTCCTGGGCAAGAAGAAAGCTTCCGTCAGAACTGCTCTGCCCTGAAATTTCTTTCTTCTCTGTCACCCCTGCCCTAGGGACAGGGCAGCCAGCACTGGAACCTCCAAAGTGAGGCCCCATCCCGTCAATCCCTGGCCACTGGGCCTGCAAATCCGGCGGACCCTCCCTCCAAACAGAACGCAAGGTTGGGTCCCCTGTGAGCAGTCTGACATCTCACACACAGAAAAGGGACAGGTCCAATTTAAAATGTGTCACTGTCTGCAGGCCCAGACGGGGAGGGACGGTGCTAACTGGAGGGGCAGGAACGGCGCCAGGGAGGCTCGGGAAATGATATGCTGCCTGCCAGGTAGCGGGCCCTGCTGTTTTCCAGACGCTTGTGGTGCTGGCCTGATTCACAGCCCAAACATTGTGGGTGGTGCCGAGTTCCCTCTGGAGGTGACTGTGTCCCAGGTCTCTACCTGCAGAGTCGGGGTGGGGATGAGCTCTCAGCTAAGCTCTAGATTCCCTGCTACACCAGAAGGGCTGGGACAGCCTTCAAGCCTGACTCCCACCCGCCCACGTCAGCCAGGCCCCTCTGGAACCCAGCCCCCACGCCACACTGCCACCCCTGCAAAGGAGTCAGCTCGGCCCTGATTTGTGTGTCATTTGAAGAAACTATTGTCTGTTGCCTCTGCGGCCGGCCTTCTTGCCCCTGGCTGCCTCGGGGGCAGCTCCTAGCAGGTGGGATCCTGCAGGCCTCGCCCCTCCTCCAGCCGGCCTGTGGCCCTGCTGGGCCCTGGTCACAACGGCTGCCTCTCAAGGCAGGGTGTGTAGCTTCCATTTGTTCTGGAAAAAGTCCCCACAGGCAACCTGGGCCTGCCTGGGAAGCCAAAGCACAGGCTTCCAGGAATGCTGGGGCCAGTCTCCAAGCTCAGCTCCTCGATGCTGCAGTTCAGGGAGGCATATGGACTCCGGTCTTTGTGTCCGGTGGAAGATACCAAAGGCCTGTGTGAGGAGGGGGTCACCCGGCCGGGACAAACCATCGCATCTCATCTCTCCTCGAGGCTGAGGCCAGGCAGGACAAAGCCCACGGCTTTCCTTCCCGTGGTAGCTGTGCAGAGGCATCGGCAAGGTGGGGGCTGGGGCTTGATTCCGTGAGCGCAAGCAGAGCTAGTATCCGGAGGCTGATGGCTTCTGCCTGCTCGCCACAGACCGGTTGTCTGAGGCAGGCCCTGGGCCTCCTACTACAGGGCCTGAACTGGGAGATCCGCAGCCTTCCCGGACCCCCACCTGCTCCAGGACCAAAGCTGCAGTCGGGATCATTCCTTATAAATAGCACTCACCTAATCCAAGTGCTAAATTAAAGGAGACTTAAAATAGTCACACAGTCAACACCTGGTTTACTGCTCCTGGTAGCCAACAGCTCCCACGTTACTAAATGCGCATTTTCTGTGACCAGTTCCCCACTTACCAAAGCTCCGTCGCTTGCCTTGAACCCGAAGCTGTTTTTCTGTTGTGCTGGGTGTGGTCAGTGTGTTAAGGCAAGTCTTTGGAGAACAGTTTGACGAACATGGGCCCCTGTGTGATCGCGGGCCCTGGCTCTCTCCACGGACCGGCTCTAGCAGCAGGAGAGCCCCCCAGCCCCGTCCAGTTTTCACCTGCCTCTCGGTGCTCACAGTAGCGACCTGCACTAAGCCCCGGCCCCAGCCACCACAACCACAAGTCCCCACACTCAGGTCTTGCTTTCAGCTCAGGCCGCTCCAGCCTCAGGCGACAGCTGCAAATCCTCTCCTCACCTGCTGGGGCCCCAGCGCCAGGCCTCTGAGCCAGGGCTGCACAGCGGGGCCCCAGTGCGGAAGCATATATATTTGGGTTTTCAACAAACATTAAGTATCAGCTGAGTGTCATGCAGTACATTATGTGTCCGGGTTACAAGAGGAATAGCCATGGCTCTGCTCCTGCCTCATCAGGGTTTTGAACAACAGGGGTAGAGGTGGTCCTGTGTTGTGAGTTTATTCATTCATTTACTCAAGCTTTACGAGGGCCTTTTAGGTGCCAGATACAAGGACACTCCAGATCCCAAACTGAATGAAACCTAGTGCCCACCACACAGGAGCTTGCAGCCCAAGGGCAACATTAGATAAACCAATGTGCACAGGGCAGGAGGCCACAGATTATGGCAGAAATATGCAGAGCAAAAAGTGGGGGCGCCCAGGAAGGTTGTCTACAGCAGAAAGCTCCAGTCCAGCGTTCTGGTGATGACGCTGGAGCTGAGTTTTCAGGGGCCGTGTAGTAGATTAACGGTGGCCCCGGGTCTTTGCCACTCCTCCACTGAGAAGGAGACTCTGCCTCTTCTGCCCTTGAATCTGGGATGGGCTAACTTTCTTGACCAATAGGATGTACTAGAAGTGATGTTCTGGAATTTCCAAGTCTAGATAAGACTTGCTGCATTTATTTGCTGGCTCTTGAAACCTGTAAACAGTCTGACTGTCCTGGAGGGGTGACATGCAGGTGCTCTGACTGACGGTCCCAACTGGGTCCAGCCTTCAAGCCATCCCCACTAAGGTCAACAGCCACGGGAACGAAGTGCTCTTGGACTCTCCAGACCAGCCATCTGCTAGCTGAGTAACACTGAGTGACCTCTGTTGATGGTCAGGAACATGAGGAACAGAAGAATTGCTCAGCTGATCCTTGCCCAAATTCCTAGTCTACGAAATATTAAGTAAGTGCTAGAAGGTAAGGCCTAATGGGGGTGGGCAGACAATCCCCGTTAATGGGGGCAGGGAGAGTGTGGGAGAGTGTGCAGGCTATCCCCCTGGTCGCAGGAAATAGCGTAGCTTGGTGCTGGGTATCTCAGTCATGTGTTCCTTTTTCTTCATCAAGATAAATTATCACCCCCCCCCCCCCAGACAACCACTCCCTACTCCTCCACAATTAGGCATTCTGGCATTCACGGATTCATTTTTCAATTTGCTTGAAATACAATAATTTGATGTATATTCATCACACTAGCAACACTGATTCGCCACTTCTCTGGCACTGGATTCAGCACTTACATGAATTATCTCATTTCATCCTCACGATATCCCCTCATGAGGCACTTAGTACAGCCAGGTTTGCTATCATACTAGTTTTAAAAATAAAAATTCGTGGGCGCCTGGGTGGCTCAGTTGGTTAAGCGACTGCCTTCGGCTCAGGTCATGATCCTGGAGTCCCTGGATCGAGTCCCGCATCGGGCTCCCTGCTCAGCAGGGAGTTTGCTTCTCCCTCTGGCCCTCTCTCTGTGCTCTCTCTCATTCCCTCTCTCTCAAATAAATAAATAAAATCTTTTAAAAAAAAATAAATAAATAAAAATTCGTTTCACCGTAGTTGATGTATTAGGGAACCATGTGATCATATTGGGAATTTTGTTTGATTTTGTCCACACGCACAGACAAAACTGGGATGCAAAAGCCTGCACCTAGCTGCATTGAAAGGCCTCCCGGTTACCTGGGTGCACCTGCACAAGAGCCACGCCCCCCACATCCGGTGTGGGTACTTCCCACCCAATGTCACATAGCCCTTCTCCCTCCACTGTGAGGGCAACTCACACACCAACTGCCACTTCTGCAAGCAAACTCCAGGTCTCGGGCAAGGGAGAGCGCCAGACTTATTTATAGCAGTTATGTACATGCGTGAAACGGTGCTACGGTTATCATTAGGTTTCTGCCTTACTCTATGTGTCACTGGTTAAGTGTTTGGGTGCTGTGCCGCAACCCCATTTCCCCCATAAGCCTTGAGGTTTCTATCTTGCGCTTTTGCAGAGCAGTGACTTTTAGGAACACCTATGTCCCTATTGTGGCAGAACCGACTGCACCCTTATCTCCATCATAAAGACGAGGAAAGGGAGGTTTAGAAGCGGCTGGCCCAAGCTGCTTAAGCGTAGCACCCGAAAGTCAAAGGTCTGGTTGAGAAACCGGACTCTGCCTGGGTTCCCCCGTGTCCCGGCTCAGGGGCTTGAAACCTTGCACTGCCTTTCTGGG